GAACGGTAAAAGAATAGTTTCCAGTCTATTCTGATGCCCGATCTCTGTAGATAAATAAAGAACTACGACAGATGTGTAATATTTAATGCACCCAAACCATTTATTATGTTTCATGTGGAACTACTTGAGCAGGTCTCCCTTGAAAAAGAGATCAATTATCTCAATGGGATTTATCTGTATAAATAAAGGTTTGAAATGAAATGAAATGACAATGCATTCATGTGATGACTTTCAAAGAGTAGAGGAAGCACTGCTGAATAAAGTATGATTTTATCTTTTACGAAAATGTGTTTTTTCATATGGAATGCAGTTGGAGGTCAACCAATCACAGAGCTTGAGGACTGATCACGGGGTTTGTCAAGCTAAGCACATGGTGTAGTCCCAAACGATAGCTGAGGATTCGGGTAGTGTAGTGTCTTCTGCCATCCAAAAACTCCGAAAAAATATTTGTTTCTCCGAATCGAAGGGGGGAAATACAAAAGCATTGTACACAATTCAAACCAATCAATGTTGTGTAATTAACAAGGATAATCTGGTGTTTTTGAGTTGATGAGTAGTGCAGATATCACTGTAAAATCAATCGACAGTAAGGAGAATACTTACTTCCGGGTGTAAAATTCTCCTTTATCCAATGGGAATGGACGCTCGTAATACAATACAGGGGACATGATCATTATCTTTTAAATAACGTTAACTAAAGGGAACAATCTATTTGACACAGCTGAAGCTCTGGCCTTCCTTAAAAACAAACTAATTTAATAAAAATCACAGTTGCATTACACACAATGCACTGTTTTTTTGAGAACACAAATTCGTAACTAATGTAATTTTTACATTCTGACGAAAAATAAAAATTATTATGAATACAAATAAAATAAAAGAAGCCTCCCGTGAGTTACTACAAGCTATAAAGTAGATTTAAAAAACGTTTTATAGAATAAAAGCTCACTGCGGGACGTTGTAGAAATGCGTGTGTGCACCACGACAAAGGAGCCTCATTCACTTTACCCTATGTTGTTTGCGTGGTGCCGACACATAAATGTAACACAGTTCGTGACTCCACCACGCATGGTGGTGTTAAGGAGTCGTGGTGGAGTCACGCATTCTGGATCATCAGGTTGCACCTGTTACGCCAGGTTTCCCGGGCGCAACATCTTGCAAGAAACAGCATCTCAGGGCGCCTTCTTAACATTTAACAACCTATTAATGATGCATACTAACTTAACGGGAAGAAACTCAGCTAACTAGAAGAAGAAATGTAACCTTAAATAAAAAATAAAACATTCACAAACTAAGGATTATCTAAATACATATTTAACTCCATTACAGTTGCAGGACTCACCAGATCTCAAGTCTTCTGTTCTTTGTTGACGTCCCGATGCTCATATTTAACGTGTAGATGTAAAACGATCCCGATATTAATCCATAAACTCCTGTAACAGACACACAGACAGCTGTAGCTCGCAGGAGGAGACCCGCTCAAACTGACATGGATGTTTCAAATGTGAACGACAGGCGCGGACAGTTCTCATTGGCAGGTTTCTTCGATTACGTTTATATTAACCAATCAGGAGTGTTGTGGACCCATTCCAAACATGCCTGACTTGTCTGCCGTGTTTTGGCTGAATTATATTTCAAGTGCCGTAACTTTGGCTGCCGGCCAGAATCCGAAAACCATACATTATACTGTAAGACTAAGGCTTATTACTGTATATTGACCAATGGAAGAAAAAAACACAGCAACAGAACACATAACTGTGACTTATTGTTGAGTAAATAACAGTGTGTGTTTTAAAACTTGGTCCTCCCTGCAGAGATGTCTCCACTTTCTATGATTTTTATGTTTTTTAATGATATTGTCAACTGTAGATGTTTACAATATAGTAAGTTAGGAATTTAATGAGAACATATTTATTTACTTTTATTTCAACATTGGATATTTTGTGTTTGTGGTGGATTCAATCGAATATTGAGAAAATGATTTATGTAAAAATTGAAATATCTTAGTCTTATAATAGTAATACACTTTTATATTACGAGTTACATATTTAATTACAGATAATACTTTTTATTTTACGTACATCTGCATGTATTTTCTGAAAGTGCAAAAATACTGTAAATATTATATAGTACATTTACTGTAAAAAAAAAAGGAAATAAACGTTATTTGTTGTTATTGTCAAAATACTTAAAATAATGTTTTGGGTTGTTAATTTATAGTTAATATCTGTCATTTTACAGGATTTTGCAAGTTATTTAAAAAAACATGATAATTACTATAAACATTTACAGTTATTTCCTGTAAAATTACTAGGGGTGCACCGAATGGGAAATTCTTGGCCGAAACCGATACCGAAAATGGGAAACAGTCGGCCGAAAACCGAATGCCGAAAATGATTAATAGAAATATATATATATATATATATATATATATATATATATAATGTATACATTTTTTACCAATGTTGTTCAGCTACCTGATTATGGAAATAGACATGATTATGGCAAAACTTAACTTAAATAATAATCACTATTATGGGTCCATAAAACATTTATTCAGCACTTTTGAATGCATACAGTACATTTATATATGTCATGTATTATTGCTAAAAAACATTATATCGCAGTCTTAGTGTCGCCAACTCGTTTCTAATATGCAAAGACAACAAATGCGTCTATGATGTATTTTCGATCAGACGAGATCTCTCGCCCGTCTGTGTGCGAGGGGGCGGGGCAGTTTACACACACGCAGCTGCTACATGCAGCGGAGCACACTGCGGAGATGGCGGAGAGAACGCGCTTCGAGGTGTGGTTAAACTTTACCTGTCTCGATGTGGAGAATACTTGTTACCATAAGTGCAATAAGAGTTTAGCATGTAAGCACGAGCAATTTGTCTAAACATTTAGCAAAAGTGCACCGCATGCAGACGGAGGAATGTACCGGGTTCGACCGTCTTTCTAGCAGCTCTGTAGCCCCATCCACGAGTAACGTTTCCACGTCAGGTGTTATGTATGCTAGCAGCAACACACGGAGTTAACTACATTATACAAACATGGGTTAATGATTAGAGGTAACTGAGTTATTTAGTTTGTTAAAATTTCAGCTATTCTGTTTACAGTCTGTCATCAGATTATTTAATACGATTTGTTAAAGGCTCAGGGCAATCTCGATGACAAAGGTCAATGTTCCCCCCCCCCTGTGAGCCAGCCGCGAGCATGGTCGCCGCGTCTTTATTACGTCATCACAACAACACGTTAGGTTACCAACGTAAGCCTGTTCTGACATTCGGTGATATTTTTTCTGTGCTAAAACCCTTTCGGCCGAAAGGGCTTTTTAACCATTTTCGGCCGATAATTTTCGGTGGCCGAATATTCGGTGCATCCCTAAAAATTACGATCTTTTTTTACAGTGTAATAGACTGCAAAACAGAGTAGAGTACTGCAGACTCCAATGAGTTGTTTGTAACAGACTCACACTAACAATATATATTGTTATATGTCACTTAGCTTTAATCTCCAGTTGTAACAGATAATTAGTTACATAACAAAAGTGATCAACGTATACAGATGCAGTCACAGAAATTCTGGAGCATTTACATCAGAATACAAGGACAGTGACATTCATTCAGTTTATAGTTCCATTCCAATATGTTGTATGGTTGTATATGGTTATGTAAAGGTTACATAATTTGGCACATAATCCAGTATACAGTTGTAAAGATTTCAAAGGGATATACCCGTACAGCTTTTGCAAAGCAGCTCAGTTCCACAAAATGATGTAGATTACTATGATTTTCTCTATTCCAATTTAAAGACGAGTTTTATATCATTCTATAGAATTTAGTATAGGTTGCATCAGAGAGAACATTTCATGCATGTTTTCTTTGAATGCTATAGATTTCTACAGATTTATATATACAGATATGTCATGAGTCGGTTCTGTCCTATAGAATTCCTTAGATTGTTATAGTTTTAATTATAGAAATGTATAGAAAAGTACACATTTATAGTATTCTACAGAATGATCTAGAGATTTCTATAGAATTCTTTAGCATGGCTTACAAATACAACTATATTCTATAACATGCTATAGATTTCTACAAGATTCTATAGATTTTTTTGCTAAGGGCACAATACCCTTACAACAAAGCTCACACTGTTTTCAACAATGCATATTTGAATTATTTCAGCAAAATCAGGCAGACCACCAGTTGAGCCATAAGGAATGAGCATGCCAACTCTGTAGGAGATTCCTTTAAGGGTTGCGTGCTTTGCAAAATGTACTTCGTTAATAGTGGGGTATTTTTGCCTGAGGTGTAACACTACTTCCTGGTTCAGTACATCCACAGGAAGCATGGAAACATTTGAAACTTCCAATGTGGATTTAAGGTGGGATGCAGTGATATGATATGCAATCATTTGCTGATGTTTGAATGCCAATGTGAGTGGTACATTCCTGAAGCAGTTTGTGTGACGAGCAACTTGCTTGAAGAAACTGTGCTTTGCCTCAAACCTCATGGTCCATTGCCCAACTAAAGGTCCAAAACGTTCAATCATTTGAGGATAATGCTCAATATAGTGATGTTTTGGTAACAGTTTTGTAGGGAAAAGCTCCAAAAATCTATATCTGTGTTCGACGATTTTACAGTCCAGGTAGGCAATAGTTTCTTGATTATGAAGAGGGGCGACAGAGAGTTCAACAATTTGTTTGAAATCAAGCAAAACATGCCAAGCAGGCTCTGCCTCTGGTATCAAGTCTCCAATTATAAATGGCAACAACCTCAACAGATTCCAATTTTCGTGGGCGTTTCCTCCAATGGTCTTGGAAGCGGCAGAAGTGCGCGGTATGGTATGAGGTTTGTTAGTTCTGTCCCCCCACTTGTATGGAAAGCTCAGGATAAGCTCATTTAAAAAGTGTTAAGCGATAGATATTTCTTGGAAATAAACAAACCAATGCAAAGGGCAATCTCAACTGGAACAACACCCTCAAATAAGTCGTGTGCAATGTCAGGAGGGTAGCCCCGAGTAACGTGAAAGTAAGATAATCTTTTTGTAAAAACACACTCTCTCTTTACCCCACAACAGATGGTGGCATTCTCTCTTGCAAATGTAATGTGCTTGTGATGCAAGTCTTTTGTACGATTTTCAAAATAACCTGACTGAACCGTTTTAGTCTGAATGTCTGCTCTTGTACCTGTACAAAATCTGCAGAAGTAGACACCAGAAAAGCATTCAATGAACCCTGCTATCCCGTGGGCTCCTAGGTTGTCTGCAATGACCGACTGGACAGTGCCTTTCACAGACGCTCCAAGACCTGAAATAAAAACACCATGTGTCTCTAGAACAGGGGTCACCAACCTTTTTTAGGATGAGGGCTACTTTCAAAAAATAAAACAAGTCGGGGGCTACTTTTACTCCTCTTTTTTTGTTTTTTGCAGTGTATATATTTATCACATTTTAACATTATTATATGCTGACCTTTAACCTTTGAGTGCTGTTTGGGTCTGTGGGACCCGTTTTCAGTGTTTACTAAAAGAAAATGTATGCAATTTAATTATTTTAACCTGCTTTATTTGGGGGTGGGCCTCATATCCTCTAGGGGGGTCCGGGGGCATGCACCCCCGGGAAGATGTTTTTTAAAATGTTGAAGTGAAATGCATCAATCTGGTGCACTTTGAGCACAAAATGAATTTATGGATACAGCTCTCAACTCTCAGATGAAAGGGAGCTGTATACTTTTCAATACTCCAATCATCTTTAGAATATGATCACAACCAATAACACATCATTTAAAACTTGTTTATTCTTATCTTATGTTACCTAGTAGTTAGCATTCTTTCTTTTTATTTATGCATATTTTACTAATCATTCCCCTTTAAACTGTTTTTTGTACTGCCCTATACACATTGGAATGATTTCTTACTTTATCTATATTACATAGATAAAAGTGTGCTCTCCCTAGCTCTCTCTCTCCCTACCTCCCTCGCTCGCTCTCTCTCTCTCCCTCTGTATCACTCGCTCACAGAGACTGTGTGCTCCTCCGTGGCGAGGACGGCTTGCGTTAAAAAATAATAAACATATTTGTAAAGTGGGGGGACACAAACGCGATTTCGAAAAGTGCGGGGGACATATCTCCCCCCCCCCCCCCTTGTCCCCAGTGGAGATTACGCCATGCGTGTGTGTGCGTCAAGTGGAATAAATATATATGCAAGTTACAACACACAGAGTAAAACTCTGCCCCTCATGTGCTGTATATAGGCTGGCACGATAGGCTGTTCAATGGGGCTGATGTGTCGTGTAGATTCTGCCAGAAGGAAAATCAGCGGGGAGGTGCCACGTTGCTTTTCTTCTCGACTGCAACGCTGGTCCCGCAAATCAAGCAAGAACGTGATTGGTCGATATTCATTGTGGGGGTGGGGAAGGAGGGGCGTTAGATATAGAGTTGTAGTAAGTAGATAGAGTTCGCTATGATTTATGTGTCGTTTATGCATAGGGTAGATTCTTTTAATTACATTTCCTTTTTTGTTTTGTGTATTTTATAATTTTGGATTTTCTTGGCGAGCTATTTTTAGAACATGCCCGGCGGGCGACTCACGTTGCCCCTGCGGGCGACTGAGTGCCCGCGGGCACCGTGTTGGCTACCCCTGCTCTAGAATGACCAAGTCTTGTAAAAGGGGATCTAAAATGTGTTCATATCCGTACTCTTTCACATCAATAGTCTTGCATAATACAGCTAAGTAGATGGAAGAAAGAGCTGAGTGAGATCCAGGTGGTAAATTATTCAAAATCCAATACACACCACAAAGTTTATGAGTTTTTCTGGACGTACCTATGGGGTTGCACACCTCAAAGTCATCAACATATAGTGATAATGATCATTTCAAATCCTCCCCAGTAAAAAGGCCATTTTCTTTTGAGTAAATTCCATCTCTTATCAACTTATACTGCCCTAAACACTGTGTACTTTTCTGTGTCTCGTGTGTGTGAATTACACTTTTTAGTATGTCACTGTTACTTAACAGATGCTGCAAAGAACGCAATATAGGAATATACTGATATGTTCTTTTACTCTTAGGATCAAGGATGTACTCAACTGGATTTACCACACTGAAATATTCTTTGTAATACTTTTTTCTTTTGAAAGATGTAGCGAGGGGGCCGTCTTTTGCAAAGGCTTTGGTCAAGGGATTAGATTTACACACTTCTTGAGCAAGCTCTTTGACAATGGACTCATCAATTTCAACACAGTGGTTTTTAAAAATGTCCGATAGGCCGTTAAAGGTTATCGGAACAGATGAGAAGCTTAACAAAAAGTGTAATTCCTGCAGTAATTCGTCAATTGCAGTTGCCGGTACAAACTAAATGTGTTCTAATTTCAGTAAAACAGAGGCAATTTTCTGCTCAATAACCTTGGGTAGATCTTCAGTATCAAAACAACCATGTGCATCTATACAAGTATCAGATTCTACATCTGCAGCACCATCAATAACAGAATTGTCAGATTCAATTAATCCAACAACTACAGTAACAACCTCAGCTTTGAAATCACTTAAAATATGGGGATTATGTTTCCTGTATTTATGAGTATGAAATGTATTGTAGATGTTAGTTTTAAAAACACAATCTTTAAACATGCATGTTACAGTTTCATTTCTCCGTAGATGTTCATTTACATGACTGAAATAAGCTTGTTCATTTGAAAGCTCAGGACAAGCACACAACTGACATGAAAATGTAGACAACTCAGATGGCTTTGGAGATGTTTGGGTTTTATGACTACAGTATATATGACTCAAAAGACTGTTCCACAATCTAAATGTGCAGGGGCAATTAGTGTATGGGCAAGGATACCGGAACCTGTTCCCATGATGTTTTAATTTGCCATGTTTAAGCAGCTTGTATCTACTTGCTACAGACTTTCCACACACCTTACATTGCCACACGCCCATTCACATATTACACCTAAAAAAAAAAAAAAAAATACAAGTTTCAAAAACTTCTCAATGCTATCAAGTATAAGAAATGAAATTATTGCATCACGTTCAAATTACTTACCTATATAGAGGTTGCCCATCCACAATGTTGATTTAGCTCCTAGATCTATAACAAAAATAGCACACGGTTAGTTTCCAAAGGTGAGGAATAAGCTATTCCTTGGCATTGTAGAACAATGCAGCAAACTAGCCAGATATTGAAATATTATGTAAATAAATAAGGCCTCTGCTGGATGTCTGTGATGTAGAGCAGCAGCTTGATTTAAAAATGATGCTACTTGGTGTAGAGGAAACTTCTGTGTAGCTATGCAGTGGGAGTCACCGACTCAGGAAGGAGACACGGGAAGAGCAGTAGCTTTGATGTCAAACACATGATGGTTTATTTGGAGTTAACGGCCGGAGGATTCACATCACAAGTCCAAGAGTCAGAGGTTCTGACTTCACGGTAGAGTTGCCACGTCAATTCTGGAGAGCCTCTCTCTTGCCAGCCCATCTAACTGGTTTCGCAGAGAGTAAACAACATATTTGAGAAGATAGCCTAAACAATGTGGGAACACTGAGCCACTTGCCTCGGACACCTATGACCTCGAAGATTTTACCTTGGAGTCCACAAATACAGAGAAGGAAGTGTCCCAGTGTACCCACAACACAGACCATCTGTATCCCAGTATTGACCGGTCACAGAATGGGAACAATAACATTATTGGCTAAGCCGCCTGTGTCCTTAAAGAAGGTAAACAGACATCGAGGTTTGTCCTGTATGTTACTAATTGGCGTCTTATGATAATTATTTCCACAACACTTGGTAGAAAATGTCGGTTTTTAAATCACTAATTAATTAGTATTATGTCATATTTGATTATTCACACCAACCCTAGTATGAGGACAACAACATGACAAACATCAATAAATCAATCAAATAATCACTAAATGAAATGAATGCTCAAATAACTATAAGAGGGAATAGGGAAATAATTAATAGTATAAATAATTGCAGGAGTAAATAAATACTTGAGAATGAAGACAAATTGGAAGAAAAATAAATACTAAATGAATAGTAAAATAAAGCATAAATACATGAGTAATTCATGAATATATACATAAATCAAGTACATAAATGCATGAATAGAAGTTGGTAAATTAAGAGGGCTCCAATATGTCTTACATTTATTTATTTTCATCCATTATTTATGCATTTCTTTTTTCTTTCCTATCCTAACTCTACTCTCTTTCTGTCTGGCTCGAGCTTCAGCTATAGCTAAGCCTTATGTCATGACGAAGAGTGGAGTTGATATAAGAAAGTATTAGATAGTGTTAGCTAAAAATACGGCACGAAAAGAACTCCAATGTAACTTGAATTACTAATGGCGCGTTTCCACTGCAGACCTCGCTCGGTTTGGTTAGGCCTTATTAGGCCCGGCTCACTTTTGGCGCGTTCCCACCGCAGCGGGTAGCTCGCTTTAAGCGTGCCGAGCCGTGCGGCCAGAAAAAAGGTGAAAAAGTAGCCCCGGGTCAAAACTAGGCCAAGTGGAAACGCAACCAAAAACGGCCCGTACGGCTCGGCACGCTTAAAGCGAGCTACCCGCTGCAGTGGAAACGCGCCATTACTCTCACGAATTCCCGGGTGTATCTGTGCTGCGATCACCGCATTGAGACAGACCGGAAGTACGGTGGCTAAGGCTAAGCTACTACTGTAATTATTGACGCAACCTAAGCGACAGAAACATACATAGCCCTCCTAATAGGGCATTCGGGCTTATGTTTGCAGGGCAACAAAGCACAAAATGTGCTGCTGGCTCTGGTTCATGCTTAGTACAAGCAGCACCCAACTAGCTAGGCCTCGTTTCGCTAGCTAGCCAGCCAGCATTGTGGCGCGAAACTAACTGCACGACGAATATACACATGCAGACAATTATATTCGTATAGCATAAACACGTTAAAATAACTGTTCATCTTCAATAACGTATGGTTAAGCAGCGGAATATTAAACAATTAGACTTACCTAAAGTCCGTTGATCGACGGTGTAGGTTGAAACCAAACGCCAAGTCAAGCGGGTAGCACATAGAAAACACCAAGGCTGCTTCTCAGGTCGATTAAATGAAATCCTTGCTTCCCTCACTTGCGTCGTTTCCCTGCCTCTAGTCCCTCCCACCAGGGAAGCATGGAGGGACGCAAGGAAACCACGAGAAGCAGGGAAATTAGTTTTAAGAGCAATGGGACGTCCTTTCCTCCGGAGCGTCACGTGAAGCGACGTCCGTTTGTGATGACGCCGCACAGCTGATCGTCTGACAGCAGCTCTGTCCCCGTTATTTCCACACACACCCCCGCCTCTGTTAGTGCACATTTACTGACACAAACATTTGTATCATCTGTTGTAGAGCCCAATAAATAAAATAAAACTAAGAACTCATTCTCAAAAAAGATAAACGCCATTCTTAAAATGTATAAACGAACAATAGTTTGATTAATATTGATTAGAGTGCACAATAGAAATAAAATAATTGAGAGAAGAAAAAGAGATATGTTATCTATCAAAACCCAGTTAGATTAACATTCATTGGATTGCACACTTTGTTTGTTTGTTTGGATATGTAGTAAATTAACATTTTAATAGCACTTAATGACTGACTGAATGGAAATGACAATAAATGAAAATGTAAAACGAAAAAAGCGATCATGAAAATGTTTCCAAAAAATGAATTAAATGATTTTTGACCACTTTTTTGTTCAGATATATCACATATTTGTAACTAAATGATACATGAATTGAAACAAAACACGGTATAAACTGAGGAGTGACTCCCGTGAGGTTAATGTATTTTTCTTCACTCTGCTCTCATGTCAAGAAGCATCAGATCAGTGCACTGCCTCGTCCAATCATTGAGCGATACACAGTAAGGGGGCGGGGTGAGTATCTGAGGATTTCATCGGAGGATGGTCTGGTGGTTCCTCGGTTATCGCTCCTCCATGATCGCTCCTCGCTCCTCGATCCTCGGTCCTCCGGCAGAAATAAGAGCCATGGGACGGTACTCAAGATGGCGCTGGCAAATCAACTTCCGGTGAGACCGAGGACCGAGGAGCGAGGAAATGAAAATAGTCGACCTGAGAAGCAGCCCAAGTCTACGTCCAGTGTGAACAGTCAACGTCAGTAACGTCATGCTTTGCGCATGCGCGTTACCTCCCTTCAGGGTCTGCCTCCCCTTTATGGGATTTAATAGAATAAACTGTACTAATTGTCTTACATTCCGTTTATATTCAACATATTCACGTTGTGTTTAATTGCTTGAACAAATCCACTTTATATTTGACAGATTTCAGTTATATTATATCTGAAAATATTGCTTCATATTCAGGGCTGCCAACACTCACGCATTGAGCGTGAGAGTCACGCAATTAACCCATATCTCACGCACTCACGCCACACTTGCCTTTCCTCACGCTTTTCATCCAAACTAAATGTATATAAATATAAAAAATAAAGTGAAGGAACAGCAAACCGAGCGGTCTACGAAATGAGACGGTCTTCTGGCTTGGTTTAGTAAAGCTGGAACTATGAGATTCGGATTTCACGGATCAATAACTCATGAAAACGTCATTCAGACACAAATGACGTCTCCTAAGTACTGTGGTAAGGTTGACAACGAACTACAATCACATGTTGATAAAAAAGAAAAGCCAATACGCGCCGTCCTCCGAGCTGGACACATTACATTGGTCTCTATCCGCAGCCGGAGAAGAAACGAGTGCTCAGGGACCGTCTGCAAAGTGCAACTCCCAAAAAAGAGAATACAATAATATTCAATCACTATTATACAGCTTATTACTACCAAACTCACCACACACATCAATAGTCTCCTGTGTGTCATACTACAGCAAGGAGTTTTGAAGAATATGCTTTTGAATAATTTTGGGGAATATTTTTAATGTCAAATCTTCAATAACTATGGCATCATCTTAAATAACTTTACTATTATACAGCATATTTCTACCAAACTCACTATTTGCATTGTTGTTGTTAGCATCTGGTTAGCTTAACGGATATTAGAAGCTGTTTCTAAAACAAGGAGAGGGAGAGCTCTCTCGAGAGATAACTACAGCTCAGTGAGGTAAGGGACTCTGTTTAACTTTAGTCTAGCTATCTTAGTGGGTCTCAAACGTTTTGGTCACCATTTATTAGAATAAATGAAAAACAGTTATGAAATACTATATGACAGTAAAACAAGAATACAGTTTAAAAGGTGAGTGATTTGTAAAATATCCATAAAGAAAAAGAAAATATGTTTACAGTTCTGTTTCATATAGGTTAGGTCAACTAGATTTTGTCTGTATCTGGGCAAAATCGACTGACGCTGACGTCATTGTCTTATCAGAAACATGGCTAAACAAATCTATTTTGGCCTCTGACATTGCCTTAAATGGTTTTAATGTGTATCGTACCGACCGGCCTAATAAAGGTGGTGGCGTTGCCATTTATGTTAAGAATAAGTTCAGTGTAACCACATTAGTTTCCAAATCGATCAGTAAGCAATTTGAATTTTTAGCCATAAATATAGAAGTGGCAAAGGGTCAACAGGTCATGGTCGTGGGCTGTTACAGACCCCCCTCAGCTGTCAAAGACTCCTGGTCTTCACTAGCAAATATTTTATCACAACTAGACTACAAGGAATTAGTGCTACTTGGAGATTTTAACTGGGACTGGTTAACTGCAGTGTCAGAGGATTTTAAAAACCTTTGTATCTCTTTGAATGTTACTCAGATTGTTGACAGTCCTACTCGCCCAAATATTAAGTCCCCTAATAAATCCTCCCTAATTGATCTCATTCTAACTAATGTTCCCCATAAATATTCATCTGTGGGAGTATTTGCAAATGATCTGAGCGATCAGTGTGTTGTAGCCACAATTAGGGACACTAAGGTCCAAAAGGTTAAACCTCGCATTATCATTAAGAGAGACAAAAAACATTTTGTTGAGCAGGGTTTTGTTCATGATCTGTTTGATTTTGATTGGGGTAAAATCGATCTGTGTGCTGATGTGGAAACCGCATGGTCTTATTTTTATCTTGGTTTTATGGAGATCATTGATAGACATGCACCCCTGCGTAAATTTAGAGTAAAGGGACGAGACAATCCTTGGTTTTCTGCTGAGCTGTCTAGTCTCCTTCATGAGAGAAACAAGGCCTGGGCAAAGGCTAGGCAATCAGGCTCAGAGGTAGAGTGGCTGCGTTTTAGGCAGCTAAGGAATAGCTTCACTTCAAATGTCAAAAGTGCAAAGTCGAAGTACTATTTGTCAGTTACCACAGACAACCTAAATAATCCTAGGAAAATTTGGAAAGCAATAAAATCGATATCCACCGGTGAGATCCGTAATGAGCTACCTCCGTGCCTTACCACAGCATCTGGCTCTATATCGGACAGGGCCACTATGTTAAATTGCTTTAATGAGCATTTTGTGTCCTGCGGTTCTATGTTTGATTCTGTGACTAACTCTGCTTCTGTGAACACCCCAATCCGTGACTCTGAACAATGTGGTCTGGAAAACCCTTTCAGTTTGACTCCTTTTACTGTCAATGTTGTTCATGAAGCCTTATCTAAGCTAGATCCTAAGAAACCGGCTGGCCCGGACAACGTAGAACCTTTCTTTTTAAAGATAGCTGCAGATTGTATTGCTCTTCCTCTCACTACTCTTTTTAACCTCTCCCTCAGCACAAATGCAATTCCAAAAGTATGGAAGTCAGCTTATGTCTTGCCTTTACTAAAAGGAGGGGAGGCAATTATTTTAAATAACTATAGGCCAATCTCTAAATTGTCAGTTCTGGCGAAGGTGCTCGAACGCCTAGTGAGTGAACAGGTAAAGGTGTTTTTATGTAAAAATGATATCCTGTCTAAACATCAGTCAGGCTTCAGAAAACAACACAACACCATCACTGCCACAATGAAAGTGGTGAATGACATTACGAGTATTTTAGATAATAAGCAGAGTTGTGCAGCTCTATTTATTGACCTGTCCAAAGCGTTTGATAACGTCGATCATCGCATCTTAAAAGCAGAGGCTACTCAGTATCGGCATATCCAGCCATGCAGTGGGTTGGTTTGTGAACTACCTCTCTGAAAGGTCCCAATGTGTTCACTTTGATGGGCTGTCTTCTGAGTGGTTAAACATTGCTAATGGTGTTCCTCAAGGTTCTGTTTTAGGTCCACTTTTATTCTCCATATATATCAACAGTTTAGGTGAAAATGTGGATGAAGCTACTTTACATTTTTATGCTGATGATACTGTGATGTATTGTGCAGGTCCCTCCATTCAGGAGGCTGGTGTTAAATTACAGGCTGTTTTTAACATTATTCAGACTCAGCTTGCTGAACTTAAGCTTATTTTAAATGTTGATAAAACTAAGGTAATGCTATTTTCAAAAGCTAAAAAGACACCAGAGCCTGTTTTGGATATTGTTACTATGCAAGGACAAGTACTTGAAGTGGTTACCAGTTATAAATACCTAGGTATCTGGCTTGATGATTGTCTTACTTTTAAACTTCAGGTCATTCATCTGCTTAAAAAGCTGAGGGTTAGACTAGGTTTCTTTTTCAGAAACAAGTCCTGTTTCTCTTTTGAAGCCAGGAAAAGGCTCTGTGACCTTTTGACCTGTGCTGGACTATGGTGATCTGATCTATATGAATGCACCTGCCCATTGCCTGGAAAAATTAGATGCCGCCTATCACAGTGCCCTGAGATGTGTTACTAACTGTAAAGCACTTACTCATCACTGTACCCTATATGCCAAGGCAGGTCTGCCTTCACTAACTGTACGGAGGCTCAGTCATTGGTACATGTTCATTTACAAAGCCATGTTGGGTAAACTACCTTTTTATATCTGCTCCCTGATCTCTCGACGAATTGAAAGTACGTATTGCCTGAGATCTCATGATGTTGTTTTATTAAATGTGCCAAGTGCTAGGACTGTCTTAGGGAAGAAAGCTTTTAGTTGTGCAGCTCCACTAAATTGGAACAGTCTGCAAACATGTTTAAAACTGAGCACTTTGGTTCCCCTGCATCATTTTAAAACTCAGCTGGGTGACATGCTGTTTGATACTCATGGTACCTGTCTCTGTAAATAGAGTTTGTAAACTGTACCCTGTACATTATGTTGTATGTCATCCTTATTGTTGTTCTGTTGTTTTTATGTTACATGTGTAACTAATGTCCTGCAGGTCACTCTTGAAAAAGAGATCTTTTGATCTCAAGGGGCTTTCACCTGGTTAAATAAAGGCTACACACAGGTGTTGAGAGATGTATCCATAAATTCATTTTGCTCTCAAAATGCACCAGGTTCAATATTTAAAAAAAAAATCTTCCCGGGGAAGCATGCCCCTAGAGGAGGTGAGAACCCCCCCACTTGTAAAATAGCACTTTACCTCTGCTTACACCTACTGTATATGCCATTTTATATGCTGTGAGCTGATTATCGAGCCTTCATTGTAAGAGTCGCGGGTACACTGTGTATGTGCGTATTCCACTGTAGCGCCCGGGACATTAATGGGAAACCCTAGTTTGTACATGTTCAATATATTTGTAACACTGTACACATGAACGTTTCTTTTTTCGGTTCACCAAAAAAAAAATCTCACTCCAAGCTGAACTCAAATGTTGGCAGCCCTGGCTCATATCTGTGGACCAAGAATCTGTTTTTTGAGTGCAGGGATTGTTTTACAGCCCTATTTTTATTACACTCAAATTAACTTTGAAACATTTGGTTACATTTCAAGTACATCTGCAACCAGACTAAACTCAAAGCTTAACAAATCGACGACATGACAAATATTTTGGTTATCAGCTGAAATATTTTCACAAAGGATTATGTCATGGGAATGAGGCTAAATGTGTTTTTGTGGTTGCTTTTAACATACGATGTAAAAAGGGTCAAACACTACTAAATATGTAAATCCACACCAAATCTTAGAGGCTACATTCTCATGAGCTTAAAACTGTGACGTCATTAGAATTAGGTATGCAGTTTTTACATTTGAAAATAATTTGAAATTTAAACCAAACTTTTCATAGGATTATTTAGTTTGGTTACTGCAGCTTTTACTTTTAATGACAACATATCTGAAGTTGTATCCACAGGCAGGCAGACAAGAAATAAGACTCCAGGACGAGCAGAGGTATTTTGTAAGGAAACTTTTATGTGTGCTTTGTGAAACTCACTTATCATTACAGACAGAAGGCGTTGCAGTTTCCAGTACAGCAGATAAGGTTTGATATTAAAGAGTACAAAAAAAGGAAAATCACAATTCCAGAGTTCATTTCTCTCCAACCTCACAGGGAAAACAAGCGAAAGAAAGAAGAGAAACAAGCTTTTGGTCCAAGTCTTTTCTTCTCAGTTCCTTCCCCGTCTGTCCCTCCCTGAGTCTCCCCCTCCTCTCCCCCGTAACAGCCAACAAACACTAGAGGACTCAGTTATCCTGGAATTTAGACAGAGCTTTCCCAGAAAGGGCCTGATTGATGCCCACAACACCCAGAGCTCAGATATTGAACACATTATGATTGCATAGTTTTCTTTTTTACATCATTTCCTTTTGTAGTATTTTTTTACTTGCACATAATGGAATGTTTACATAAAGACCCCTCCCCGATCTTTTCCCTCCCCCTTCTTTGCGGTATATTTTATTTCCCCTTTCTTTAGGGACAGATGAGGGGTGTAGGGATGGGGGAGAGAACAGGAAGAAGTGGGAGACTGACTTTAGGAGAGAGTAAGAGCGAGGGACAGGGCTCACCATTCGGCACATTTATTTGATTTCTTCCACCATTGTTCCAAAAGTCTAAGGGGGGAGCTCCACAGCGCGTTACTATGGTAGCTCTTAAAAATCTAGGAAGTCAATGTCTCAATGAAATGACGTGTATATAATTCTGCATTATTTCTTGTATATAAAACTGGACTAACTTTGACCACTACAATCTTACCTATCATATAAATGTATAATTGTTTTTATTTAAATAAGCACCTATAGCCAGGAGGAGAATAGTTTCACAGAAGCAAATATTTGTTGATAATTATGGTGATGCTTGTCATGGGATTTATACAGGGGAAGGCCTTTCGGTACATAAGGCTCCACTTCATGGCTACCAACTATTTCCACGATTATTTCCATTGCAGAGAGAAAAAGAAAGCTGAAGAAAAAAAGACTTCTGGAAGCTCAAACCTACCCACTGGTGAAACTGCTCTGCTCTCATTGGCTTTGAAATGTCAGCGTTTTTATTTTTAATATATGTCCCTCGACTGGAAAGCCTGCCATCAATTATTCTCAACAACTCGAACTGTGTATGACATGATTCGCACTGGAAAAAAAAGTATGTACAGCGCTGGGCCCCGCCCCCCCCCCAATCTGCACCAATCACCAGCCCCACCCCACCAAATTAACAAAGACAGGAGGAGGAAAAGAGCTGAGGTCAGACGGGTGACCTTATCCAGCCACGTGGGAATTATGGGTAAATAAGTCATTTTATCTCTGCTTGGTCAGCACCCCCCCTCCCATCCTTCTGACCCCGCAGCATATATCTCTAGGATCTAATACACAAACCTCGCCAGTCGCCACATCAAACCCCACACCACCCTGCCCCCCCCTCAGCTGACAAGAATAAAGAAATTATAATAAAATAAACAAAAAATAGCATAAGTATCAAATTAGCTTGTTCCCCCCCTCCCCAGTTTAGCTCCACAAAGGCAGAGAGGGTGAAGCTAAGGACCCGCACTACAGAGCAACTGTCCCCAGCTGCCCTGGATATGCCCGTTCATCAAATACCTTTTACAACAAATGGATTACTCTGGATGCGTTTGGAAAACATTCGACCCCGGCCCACCTAACTACAGTCCAATCAACACGCTCATTCTCAAACACTCCTGATCCTTTCTAAAACGGCACACGCAGGGGCACCTCACAACCACCAATCAAATTCTTCCAATTGCTCACGTTCTGGCCTCTTCTCTACGCACAGAGTAACTCTCTACACCCCCCTCCCCCCCCCCCCACTGGTTTGTGCAGCCCTCCTCTACAGGTCGCTCTCTCCGTACAGGGCGGTGGAGAAGGACATGTAGTCCAGGGCCCCGGGGGCGGCGTCGGGCCCCGTGTAGGGCGCCATGCGGGCGATGCAGTACTCCGCCTGGTCGGGGGGGAGCTCCCTCCGCAGCTCCTCGGCCGTGATGAAGGTCTGATGGACACAAAGAGGAGGGTACATAAGGGCTTACAATATATCACAATGTGACAGAATAACTTACAAAATTGTTTATACAAAAGATTAATTTGAGAATTAAAGGTTATTGTTTTTGTTGTCCAATTAAGTTTGAATGTACTGCAGTTTGAAAGAGATGGGATAAAAGGAGGGAAATATCCAAAAGCTTCCATCTCATTCCATCAAATACATTATTTTTAGCATCTGGTTTTCTTTGCCAATCAGAACCAAGAATCATATTTGTTCTGTTAGTGAGCTTTATGCTTCATACAGACTCCTGCACAAGAACCATTTAGATTGTTGTTGTTGTTGCTTTAACTGGAAGCTGTATAATTATGTGTGATAAAACACAAACACTCATCACTAGGAATGGGTATCGTTAGGATTTTATCGATACCGGTATTTTTCGATACTCTTCAATAATTTGGTGCTCAAAATGATAGAGATGATTACAAGATGTGAAGATTAAACAGTCATTTTATTGTAATTTATTTGTATTTATTATTTAATGTAACTTTTTCAATGTCATACCAAGCAGGTATGAGTGTGTTTGACAGTGTGTCTCTGAAGGGGGGCGGTAATTAGGGGAAGTTCATAAATACCCACACACACACTCACCTTGTCAGCGGCCAGGATCTTGAAGGAGGCGATGACCTGGTCTGCAGTGTCCGTGTCAGTCGTTTCCCTGGACATGAAGTCGATGAAGGCTTGGAAGGTGACTGCTCCGCTGTTGTTGGGGTCCACTATGCTCATGATGCGAGCAAACTCACTGTCTCCCTGGCAACCGAGAAACATAAGGTTAACCAGGAGACAGCATTTATTTATTTTTTCACACACACACACACACACACACACACACACACACACACACACACACACACACACACACACACACACACACACACCACACACACACAAATACACCACACACCACACACACACACACACACTTACTACACACACCACCACAAACACACACAGAACACACACAAACAACACACACACACAACAACACACACACAACAACACACACAACACAACACACACAACACACACACACACACACACACACACAACACCACACACACCACACACACACACAACACACACCAAAACACACACCGTGTGCAAAAAATCAGGACCTCCATTAATGGACTGAGCCGGAGATTTGGTTTTGCTGGTCCCAATATTTTACATTTCTCCACATGCACAATACATTACATAACACTGTTTGATACCAATGAGAAACACGGAACATATGAGGACACTGAGGACTGTGTCATTGGGATGTCAATAGTCAACTAAAGCCCCAGCAGAGGAGCAGAAGGTACAAAGCAACAGATCGAATAAAACCAGCGAGAGGATCGGGTGAGAGCAGGGTTCGTAGCAAAAGGGTACAACTCAGATTTAAGCCAGAAGCAGCACAACAAAACTAAACTGAGCAAGACTGTAGTTTGGAAATATTTTCAAAAACAATATTGAGCTTTGCAATAAAATAAGAAATACTATTATTTATTTTGTATTCCTTTGTTTCTTCAAAAATCAAACTAAAAGGCCAGGTAGTCTACTAAAATGTTGATTTAAGAGAAAATGTAAATGATGACCAAGATGAAGAAATATGTTGGTGATTACTCTACAATACAGATCTCCAGCCCTTCTCATAAGGAGCTGATTTCTTACTGGAAATGTAGCATGATGGCACACATCTTTAACATCTTCCCAGACTGGGTGTGGTCATTTCAAGACAAACTCAATTGAGTTCAGATGTCCGTGGCCCTGCTGACCCCCGACAGCATCATGCCAGCAGCAGTACCAGGCTGTATCCTGTAGAAATGAGTAGAGCCCGGAAATCCTCTGAGACCATCAGTCCCGATCGCTTCTGTGGCGCCACAGCCAAGGCCCAGGTGATAAGGGGAGAGAGACACAGGTGGCAGAGAGGAGGAGGAAGGAGAGGATGAAGATCGAGGAGGAGTGGTGCACAGAAACAGAGATGTTGTAGAGAAAATGTTGGAGGGGTGTGAAAAAAAGATAAAAAGCACAAACAGTTAACAGCAAAAGTTAAACCTGACGGACAGACAGGAGAAGGGGGGGCGGGGGGGGGGGTGTTCAGAGAGTGAGAGGGAGCCTGATCCAGCTGAAGCACAAAGCAACAGAGCCCCCAGGTGGACAAACAGGACGCAGCATCTCTGCCTCCATGCTGAGGGACGGACCCCCGCGGGACCCCAGAGCAGGAGTGCTGACTCAGCACTGACCACTCTACTGTGTCTGGTTTCCTTCATATCAGATTAACATGATCAATGACAGCAGGACATCTGGGATTATATTTCTTTAAATCTGAAGATAACAAATCCAATTTGATCAATAATCTAGATGTTTAGAGATTGCTGGTGCACTGTCTGACGTTATCGTCTTGTTCAAGCCCATGTTCAAGGTCAATTGTAATACATCACAAATTATTACCAAATGTGACAGTACGAACTGGTAAATATTTAGTAAAATAAAAGTAAATCAAGGCCTATTCCAACTGTAAACGGTGACATGTATTTGCATTGCATCTTTGTTTACGGAAGTGAATTGATTTACCAGACAAATATAGTTTTGACCTCCTCAGAGCACCTTCATTAACATCTCAAAATCAGGCAAAAATGTTTTGTAAAACAGGGATGACAATCCAGTATATGCTTCAATTGTTTGTAATGTATTACATTGCTAAAATATAAATTGTTCTGTCTCTGGCTCCTCACAGTAAGAGTGTAGGGAGATTTTGTATAACTTCCAGATAAGAGATCCCTATGTCCGGCCCTGCTTCAGACAGCTTCAGTGTGTGGTCAGTGCTCCTGCTCAGAGGCTAACCCCACCTCTTGGCTCAGAGGCTAACCCCACCTCTTTGTTCACAGGCTAACCCCACCTCTTTGTTCACAGGCTAACCCCACCTCTTTGTTCACAGGCTAACCCCACCTCTTGGCTCACAGGCTAACCCCACCTCTTGGCTCACAGGCTAACCCCACCTCTTGGCTCACAGGCTAACCCCACCTCTTGGCTCAGAGGCTAACCCCACCTCTTGGCTCAGAGGCTAACCCCACCTCTTGGCTCAGAGGCTAACCCCACCTCTTTGCTCAGAGGCTAACCCCACCTCTTGGCTCACAGGCTAACCCCACCTCTGGCTCAGAGGCTAACCCCACCTCTTGGCTCACAGGCTAACCCCACCTCTTTGCTCACAGGCTAACCCCACCTCTTTGTTCACAGGCTAACCCCACCTCTTGGCTCAGAGGCTAACCCCACCTCTTGGCTCAGAGGCTAACCCCACCTCTTTGCTCACAGGCTAACCCCACCTCTTTGTTCACAGGCTAACCCCACCTCTTTGTTCAGAGGCTAACCCCACCTCTTGGCTCAGAGGCTAACCCCACCTCTTGGCTCACAGGCTAACCCCACCTCTTGGCTCACAGGCTAACCCCACCTCTTGGCTCACAGGCTAACCCCACCTCTTGGCTCACAGGCTAACCCCACCTCTTGGCTCACAGGCTAACCCCACCTCTTGGCTCACAGGCTAACCCCACCTCTTGGCTCAGAGGCTAACCCCACCTCTTGGTTCAGAGGCTAACCCCACCTCTTGGTTCAGAGGCTAACCCCACCTCTTGGTTCAGAGGCTAACCCCACCTCTTGGCTCAGAGGCTAACCCCACCTCTTGGCTCAGAGGCTAACCCCACCTATTTGTTCACAGGCTAACCCCACCTCTTGGCTCAGAGGCTAACCCCACCTCTTTGTTCACAGGCTAACCCCACCTCTTGTCTTGGCTCCGCCCACGCTGCAGATCCTACCTGCTTGTTGTTCTCCACATCGTAGCCCAGACTGATCAGACAGGCCTTGAACTCTTCGGCCATCAGAGCCCCACTGTGATCCTGAGACCAGACAAACAGCCAATAACAGAGCGCCACGTCATGAGGATGAACCAATCACAACACAGGGATGGTGGTGACCATGAGATCCACAGCATGCAGGGAGGAGATGGAGACATGGAGGATGGAGACACAGACATTCACTGATGTTTAGACAATGTCAACACACAGAACTCAACAGGAAGTCATGATGGCCCCAGACTCCTTTTCAACACATCCCGAGGTAATAATGAAACACTTATAAATGGTTTCACAGAGTTATACTGAAAATTCACTTGAAACTGAAGGGTTTCTGCTTGGTAATACAGAAGAATACTATAAATGTGTTATTGAGAGCCACATGCATTCTTCTAAAATATATTATATTAGAATATAATAATCGAGGAGTCAGTATGTCCTCCATTTAAAAGAGGTTCACATTGTAGATTGTGGGACATTTAAAAGGTTCTAGTATTATGCTGTAGAATAACACTGATGTGATGGGTGACCACAGGAAACAGAGTGACACACACATAGTGGTGTGAGATGGTGAATGATGGGGATGCCCACCCACTCCCTTCCCCTCAAAGAGCCAATGTTTGAAACGACCATTGGACACAGAGGTTTGCTGACATATTCTGCTTTTTACCCCCAACTAGGCACCAGTTGTGTGAACACTGCCGCAGATAGATTATTTTAAAACTAAACTACATCAATGTCCTGACATTAACATGCAGATTCATTTATAGAAAAGCTGCCTCTTTTCCTCACTCTTTGCCCTCTCCGCAGCAAACACTGTGCTCTGCTAACATCTGACCTTCACCCCCACCCGACTTGTGCTAGTTACTAAAATCAGGATGGATACTCACACGTTTGGCTCCTCTCTCACCCCCTTGTAAGGTCTAAACATTCATTCATCAAGTTATACATTTATATAGAAAGGGCTAAATCCTCACATCAAAACACAAACTTTTATGACAGTTAATGTACAGTCATATATGAATACATATGCCATAGATAAGACAATACCATGAAAAAACCACAAAGTTTTGGGTTGAGGGCTTAATGTGTTGTTGTCCTAGTAGAGTGTGGTGTAGCATGCATGCATTACCATTGTGTCAGAGTATATGTATTTATATTTACTGCTCTGATTTAGTTCTTAAATTCTGAAGCTTCCATGTGTCGTAAAAGGGCGGTAGCTAGAAGTAGCTAAATTAAATCACTAAACGTCATCACCCTGAATAGCTCTTAGTTTAGCAGTGGTGATGATAAAGTCATGTGACCGTGGTTAGTTAGTAAAATATCATCTATAGAAATGATCCATATCATAAATGTTTTACCACAGAGTTTTCTTCTGCAATAATCAATTCAATACCAATCAAGTATATTTAAAAGTTTACAACCATTCTGTGACAGTGTGTACAAACAGAACCCAACAGGTGTGTAATGAGCCGTGGCCCCGCAGCTCGGCCCCTGACCTTGTCAAAGTGGTTGAAGGAGGCGCGGTACTCGTAGAGCTGCTCCTGGCTGATGCCCTTGGCGTCACGCGTCAGGATCTGGTTCTCCACCTCGTTGATGGTCCTGGCGATGGTGGTCAGCAGCTGCTCCCAGCCCACACGCAGGTGCTGCGGGGGGGGGGGGGAACATGTTACTCATTGTCTCTCAGAGTTTTACTCTCTGTACTGACCTTAGGGAATGTACAGAGGGAATCTTATCAAAACAAACTGCTTTTATGTGCTTATAGTCTAAGTCCCAGCACTGTGATTTCAGGATCCAAAGTGGCACATTTGTATCTGTGTGCTGATTTTGACTAGCAAAAGTAGTGTTGCGACCATTGGATATAGAATCACAAGTTGAAAATGAATATCTCTACAGTGGATAATTTATTTTCAATTAGATAAGCAATCTTTCCAATCTTAAATGATCCTTCACCTTAAACGGACCACAAATTCATCAAAATCAGCCCACAGAGAGTACAAACATGGACATTTCCTAGTTAAAACTGCCATTGTTGATCCTGCAAACGTCAGAAATTGATTTCTATAATTTATTTTGTTCTATACATTTCTAACATAAAACTTTGGGGTACTCCACATTTCTGGGTTCACAATAGGACTATGAGTATTAACTAGTATCCTTAAAAAAGCAGCGGGCAGCAGTGATAGAGTGGATTCTTCCTTAAGGCTTGAGATGTATGTGTGAAGTTACCTCCATTGTGTAGGAGGTGTATTGGTTATCGAAGATGAGGGCCTCCTGGATGAGCTGGTGGGAGCCCTCCAGGGTGTTGATCTCTGGCATGTAGGACATGATGGACGTCTGGTAATCCCTCAGGTTGGTCAGCTGGTCTTCCAGAGTGCCGTTCATCTCAATGGATATCCGGCCTATTTCCTGCAGACACACAAACAGTGTTTACTATCCTGTTTATCCTACAAATACACTGATTTAAGAAGAAATGACATGCACCATATCATGCAGCAATGTTTGATTCTTTATAAAACCCTTAATCCAGCACCAAATCTATTTTTCTTTAACCCTTTCTTTTGAAGCAAGTGTGAAAATAGCTAATTATTTGACTGAAGGGTAGATTGGTGTATTTTCCTTTCATTATTTCAACATTAAAATGCTCACAATGAGTTGCAGAAGCTCAGTTTAAAAAAAACAAACAGTAAATGTGCAGCAGGGGAAGCTTCAAAATATATGATGAAGCTGTATTGGCATGAATGGTTCTGGGTTAAGCAGTGTGTGTTCAGCATTTCAAAGGAACAATTAAAAAACAAGTGATATATAAACATATTGAGTCAATACATTTAGAAACTGGCATAAAAGTATTGAGCTGTCTTAAAACGTTGAAACCTTGAGCAGGGTTTAATTTCACTAAAGCTCTGAACTCTCACACTGATCCTCATTACCTCCATCTTTGCCTGTATGTAGGCGCCGACCGTGTTGGCCTGCGTGGCGAACTTGGCTCTCAGACTGTCGTTGTTGTTCTGCTTGTTCAGCTCCTCCTGCAGGGCCGTGTCACGCAGGGGCACCATGCCCATCGCCTGCAACACACACGATTATGTTCTCTTGTTAAGAAATGTTTTCTCATAAATGATGCGGTAAGCAGGAGGACAGAATTACTTTAAACTGACGCCGTTTTGCATTTCTATAGGTTGCATAAATACAAGCATGGTTTTATATACTATCATGTTTAATTGTGTTTTATGCCGTTTGCCAAGACTTGATAAGTCGCTCGTAAAACACAGGAGGTATGGAAACTAAGAACACCATATGTGGTAAATTGTACAGCTAATATAACACATTAGTTGTATTACCTTTAACTGGTGTATTATGGATATATAGTTGCTGATCGACAGCTGGAACACAAACCACCAAATACAAACAAATAATTCAGATCCAGTCGTCATGACTCCACTCCGGAGGGATTCCCCGATCACTTCACACCGGACGCGATGCGATGTTTGGGGGCAGCGCGATTACATGTAAAGTCAATGCAGAGACGCGGACAGACGCGAATTCGCTCCGACGGCGAGCATGAAGCGGTGGACGCGGCGCGAATCACGCGATTGAACAGTGCCGCGTCAAACGCGAGAGTTCCATTTTTTCAACTCGAACGTCAAATTCACGTGACGCGTTCTCGCGGAAGCCAATCAGCGGTGAGGATCTCAGCCTGCCATCACTGAAGTTCAACCATGCGTTCAACCAGAACACATCAGCCGTTAGCTGTTAGCAGTTAGCACACAGAGCTCACAGCTCCTCATATCTGTTCAGAAACTGGACAAAAGTTAAACAAGTACAAACCACAGACTGTCTGTGTCATGGCGAATACTAATAGCATTAATTCATGGTTTTTACTAACCGGTATCAGTATGTTGTTTCTTCTGCATAATTTAGAAACGTGTATTACAATTTAATCACGGTCAAATATGTTCATTTTGTTGTAGTTAGCTCCCGAGCCAGCGCGTCTTGTTTGAATGATGCGAGTAAACACAGCTGGCAGCCGCTGTGAAACTCGAGCGTTTAGAGCGAAGCGAATATTCGCATCGCGTCCGGTGTCAACGTAGCATTAGTTTCTCATCAAGGGGGGTCTCCTGTCCATGGTACAAACACACTGCCTGAGGAAGGCTGTGTGTATTTATTTTGTCATTAACCTTTTTCGGACCACTTATTTATTTATTTTGGTGACGATCCGACCTCCATGTCTGTCTGATCAATGACCACATCATAAAATGATTATTGAACACAGGGTACTGCTTAGAGTTCTGGTATGCACTCTTTAAAAGCAGCATTAGTGTTAGTGGCTATTATTGGTTTACTGCAGGCAGTTTATCCCCCCCCAAAAAATGTACAAAGAAATAAGTGTAGGAGGCAGATATGACGGAGTGGTGTTCCTTCCCCGCAGAACTGCTTTAAAGAAACACCTAAATCCGAGGGAGAAACAATACATTTACAATTTGTATTGCACTACACTAGTACATTTAAACTCAAGGGGGTATAAACAGCACTAAGCTTTGTGCAGGTATAATCCCCAGGAAGCCCAGGCCACAGCCCACCTTCTCCCACTTGCTGTCGATGCTCTGCGGGGTGATGGTGGTGTAGGGGTTGGCAGCGCTCAGCTTGATGCCGTTGCTCTGGGCGATCTTCTGCACCTCCGCCTGGATGGCCTGGATGGCCTCCCGCTCCTTGTTGGCCTCCGCCAGGGTGGACTTGAACTGCTCGTGGGCTGTGATCAGACCCTGAGGGGGGAACAACGTTTGGTTTTACCTGCAGCACTTTAGCCAGGTATAGTTCATCTCACATTATAATATATGTTATTTTGTATAATTCACATTTCTTTAGGGTTGTCAATATATTCATTTTATATCCAATTGTGATATGAGACTAGATATCGTGTTAGATTTCTGAAATTGTTATATTGAACAAGTGTTGTCTGTTTCTGGTTTTAAAGGCTGCAGTAAAGTGATCATTTTTACAAATGTACCAGACTGTTCGAGCCACTTATTTGCCTTTAGCAATTACATCCACAAAAATATGAGTGTTTTACAATAATATTATTCTGTAAATATGTTGCGAAAGCACAAAAAAGTTAACCCTACAATAACGTTGAAATATAAATAGAGGTATTTGATCAGAAATATTGTGATATTTTTCTTCATATCGCACAACCCTTCTTTCTTCAGTAATTCCTCTTGTGCATATGTCTAGGACAAAGCAATAATTCACCCCCCTCCTGTGTTACCTGGATCTCCTCGATGTTGTGCACGATGAACATGTCCTGCAGGTCCTCCATTGCTCCCTCCATCCAGTTGTTGAAGGGCGCTGCTCTCTTGGCGTACTCCAGGTACAGCTCATCGATGGACTCCAGCTGCTTCTCTGTCCTCTGTGGGCACACAGAAATCAAATGTTTTGATATTAATATTTGATAAAGCTGTTCTAGGACTTTAGACACTGGGAATATTATAATTTTTGCATTGGGGCATTACAACCACCTGATTGCATCAGTCAATCTATATGTGATCACACACACATAACGAGAGAGAGAGAGAGAGAGAGAGAGAGCGAGCGAGAGAGCGAGAGAGCGAGAGAGCGAGAGAGAGAGAGAGAGAGGGGTACCTCCAGAGACTCCTTGCGGTTCTGGGTGAGGGCCCCCAGGCTGTCCCACTGATCACAGATCTTCTGACAGCGAGCGTTGACGCTGGCAGAGTCGTAGTAGTCCAGCTCGCTGCAGGCAGGGAGGAGCAGATGTATAAAAGATGCTATCACACAGATACATGAGTCTCCTCCACTTCCTCTCTGCCTCCTTACTTGAGCTCCTGTGCGATGGCGGCGATCTGCTCCACTCGGTCCTGATGGGCCGCCAGGTCGCTCTCAAAGGCTTCGTGTTTCCGTAGCAACGCCTTGACTTCGGACAGGGTGCAAGTCTCGTAGTCTTTCTGGGTCAGCATGGCCTCCTTACCTGCACACAGAGCATCATGTTAATAACTTAACCTGCTGCTCTCTGGGAGGGTTCATTTGGTCAGCTGCTTTATACTGTGTTCACTTTTTGTTTTTAATCGTTTTTATTTTGCAGTCAGTCTATAACATTTGATCCCCTCTACTTTGTTTACAACATTTAAAAAGAAGCTGGCAAAGATATTTTTTGTAACTAAATGTCAGTCTGATCTTTTTTCGACCAGTATATTTCATGTAGATGTAGATGTCCAACATTAGTGTTGATTTGACCTTGGTTATGAAAGTCAAGGAACCAAAGATACTAAGTAATAGATTTCATTACCTGAAGCCAACACAGCAATTTACTTGAAAAACAAATATGAGCTTCAAGTGTATATTTCAAACAATCTGCATCAGCTGCTCTCTTTGTGAAGAACACAGACTGGTTCAATCAAATATCAAATGAGTGTTTAGTCATTTTACTATTTGATTTACTAACAATATGTACAGTTGGATAGAGAAGAGGGGTTTTTCTCTTGGAATGAATGGAAATTGATTTTGTTTTGCCAAAAAGGGGATTCAACTTGATCATCGAGGGGGGAACTACACAGTTAGTGGTATTTTACAAAGGGTGAATGTGTGTGTGATTAAGCACACCGTCGGTCCAGGACTCATGGATTTTAGACTTCTGGTGGAACTTCTCGGCTAAATGCTCCAGTCTCTCCAGACGTCTGATCTCGCTGAGGATCCACTCCTCGTAGCCCTTCTCTGCTCCCTCCAGAGTGTACCACGCTCCGTTGATGTCCTGAGAGCAAACAGCAGCTGTTATTATACCATTCCTTCACTGCAGAGCACATAATGCACCAGTTTGTAGTCCATGACAGTAGAAGAACAGCCCACCTACTAGCAGTCATTCCAAACTGTAAAGAAGTGTAATGGTGTGAAACTAAACCCTCTATTGGGTTGAATCATTCAAGAGAACTAGACTTAAAGCTGATCTGAGACATTTCTGTTCACCGTGGAATGGCACAAAGTCAATTATTAAAGAATGTCAGTGTCATGGACAAATGCACAAAACATGATATATATACACACCAGAGACAGGAAAGGATTTTGTGCATTTTACACCTGACTTAACTATATGCTACTGTTCTGTTAAACTGCAACTACACTAAAACCAGCAACATGAAATGAAAAAGTCAAAACTAAAATGAAAATAAAAGTAGTTGAAAATGCAACAGATGCTAACGTGTTCTGTGAGGCTGACACAAAGGTTGTTTACATAATAAAATGTTTCAATGCAGGTTTAAGTGTAGATGAACATCTTTGTGGAGAGCACACTTGTCCTATTTATGTATTTGCATATCTATATATTTTTAATAAGGGTAAGCAGATTTCCTGCCGTCTGTAAGATATACAAATATAATTCAAATGTCTGGTGATATGGACTCTTTTCATTCTAAGTGAGATGTAGGTGTACATACAGACACCATGCGTCCCTCTGACGGCATGAAGGCAGGTCTGTTGCTGAGTCTCAGTTTGGTCTGCAGAGTGTTGAAGCTGATCTCCAGCTGGCATTTCTCTTGGACCTGAGGACAGGAGGGGAAGAGGTTTCACAGTGTCAGCCATTCAGTAGAGGAAACCTCTTAGAATAAGGACTGTGGTTAGGCTGGAAGTGAGAAACCATTTTCATGGTGTGAGTAGAGAGCACGTGAGGAGCTCTGTTACCTTGGGGGGTTTGTGGACGCAGCGGTAGTCTCTGAAGTCCTCCTGCTTGGCCTGCATGTCAGTCACCGTCTTCTCCTGGGTCCGGTTCTCCAGCCAGGGGATGGTCCGGCGGATCCACTCCAGCAGCTGACCAGGAGGAGACCAGGAAATACAATCAGATTGTCAGGAAACAAGGCTCTGACACTTAATCAGTAACTAAACTTAATTACAAAACATCAAAAAATAAAATGAATAGTGTAGAGTCAGGTAGATGAATAAATAAAAGTCTCCTCACCTCACTGGCCAGCTTCTCGTAGTCCTCCATCATCTGCTCGTTCTCCTGGTTGACAGCCAGCACTTTGCAAATACGGTTGGCGGCTGTCTCAGCCTATCAGAAAACAGAGTGATGAGTAGCGCTCGCGGTGATTGGATAGAACATGCTGACATCACGTCCACTCCACTCTTAGTGAGACATTCACTGTAGCTAAGCGTTAAGAGTCTCTAAATCAAACAGTGTCTACTGCTCATTATAATTTCCTGTTAGAATAATTTATCACTTCTGTTTTTATTTGTATTTGTGCGAGCACAATCCACACACAGGCAGTGAACAGAAATAAAACTAACCTTAAGGTCACATTATTTTAGAAAAGTGCAAATGACTCAAAGTCAAATGGAGGTTAAACTTGACTGATAAAACATGCTCAAGCTGCTGATGGTTAGTTTAATGTGCCAAAATAAAATAAAATCAATAAGTGTGTTTAAAGCTCCATGCGTCTCCCGCCAAAACTCAGGAGTCAGTCCATACGTCTAGTTACAGTTTCTGTCGCACTGCTGTCCACACCAGCACGGCTGCCTACGATATTACACTACTGTACCACTGGAATAAAACAAAAACAGTACACTTTTCACATATAATCTGTACTAAAAACCCTGTTCCATCATATTGCTTTACATTCTTAACCAATGTATTCTATATATACATTTAAATAACATCACAAAATAAAACAAACATTTGGAATGACAAGTGTTATTAGCTGAGAATTGGAAGGACATTAGTCATGTTCCCCACAGTGATAAAAGAGATCCCTCCCAAACACCCGTCAGTACCATCACCTGGTTTAATCACATGGTTTTGTTCAATTCTCCATTCTGATTGGTTAATTACTGAATTCTAATAGTCTGTATTTTCTGAATGGCAGACTACTGCTATGGACACAGTTGTTCTCGATAGAATAGAATCTAAAAAGGACATACAATAATTTATAGTCAATGAAATTCATTTTAAATCAAACATGTTGTCACATTATCTTTGGTAGGTTGCTGCGAAATAGGCTTCAGGGCCGATTACACTGCAGGGGTTCAATGCATTGATGCTGGCTAACTACATGATTCCATCATTCAACATCATTTCCCCCAGTAAACAACACATTGCTCGACCTACGTGTATTCAGATGTATTCAGAATTTCAGTGGAAACTTGAGATACATTTGACACCCACAACAATCCAGTGAAGGCACATGGCGGTCATGCAGGAGGATTACAGTACTGACGTGAGTTTGGGAATTTAAATCCAGACCATAAAGTAAAACCTTTTTGGGGAAACAGTCAATGTCCAAAGAAGCTGAAACAGAAGCATGAGAGAGCGTTTGCTGGCTTTCCTATCCTGTTGATATTCCCTGAGTTTCCCTGTGAACAAGTCTTATCCAGTGAGGAGGAATATAAAGCAGGATTCTCTGGGGATGGCTATAAGATTTGATCATGGATTGCGATAATAAAACACTCACAATGAGTCATTTGTGGTGAATTTCAGTTATCAGGATATTCTTGAATATGTGACTTGAAACAAATGACTACTTTGCATATGTGGTAGAGTTTGAAAAACAGTCCAATTAAAAGAATCTGAAATGATCTTGTACTGAGGAAACTAATCAAACAGTGTTGCTATTTTTACATATATTATTCCTTTACTTATGCGTGGGGAAATATGATTTCCTTATTAAGGACTCTAGCCAGTTTCCATGGCTAGATTAATCTATTTAATATTTTGAGAAACATTTCTAGATGTTTCTGGGATTTGACCCATTTTCTGATCCTATCTAATGACATTGCTCCCTATCTTCTCTCCGTCTGGAATAACTCTGGAGTTTCTTCTTCTGCACTGTTGAAGTCAGTCTGAAGGGTGAGAAGCTCACCTTCTGAGCGCCAGAGAAGGCGTGATAGAAGCAGGACACATAGGTCATAATGGCCTTCTCATCCGGCCGCAGCGTACCCACGATGTCTACACAGCACCCAGCGGGGGGGAGAGGTTCACCAGGAAGGCAAGCAGAGAGAGAGAGAGAGAGAGAGAGAGAGAGAGTGAAGCCAAAGCTACCCAGAGCTGCATGAGCTCGCTCCTGCAGGGTGTGAGAGCGAGGGAGGACTCTTTAGGTCCACAGCTTCCTCCTGTCCCCCCCCTTGGACGACGCAGCCACAAGTTCCAGGTTGGGACACAAACACGCACATGAGCTGCCAAGCAGCGCTGAGGAAGAGCTTCACTCAGCGCACTCTTCTCAGAGAGTGAGGTTTAGTTTGGTTCATTCAGCAGCTGAGAATGATGTCTTTAATAATCAGGTGGCATTATGAACTGCTCTAAGAAACAACAAGTTATCAACCCTATCCATAAATAAAAAAGAATAAAAAGAGAAATAACTTTAACCATCTTTCTACATTTAACAACAAATAATTCTGATAATAATAATACAAATAATACAATCTTTAGCTCTGGTTTTAAGTGTAGAAATCAGAGCATGACAATAATAATTGAAGGCAAACTGCAGAATAGAGTCGTCTGATTCTTCATGCATATACACATCATAGCACTAATCCAGCAGTAAGTGAAATGACTTTGAAATCAAATGAACTTCATGTTACACCTAACTAGATGATTTGCATTTGGAGGATGACTAAGACACATTCTCAAAAGACCAAGTGAACCAAACCAAAGAGAAAACACTCACACTTTGTTTTGCTACTTAAAGCACCAATATGTTACACTGCTGCTACAAAGTTCTAATCCTTCATCTGCTAATAGTTATCAAAGTATTCCACTCACTCTGTTGACAATACGGAGTATTTACTGCTGTCACCAGCACAGCTACAATCAGACTGTGTGTGTTTGTGTGTGTATTGCTGAGTGTTTGTGTCCCAAAGTGTTCTTATTGAGACTCTGCAGGCTGTGGAGAGAGAGCAGCCATGCTGGACAGGTAGCAGCACCCTGTTAGTAATGGGGGGGGGGGTTATACATCAGGGGTCAGAGGGTACCTTCTGTGCTCCAGAGAAGGCATGGTAGAAACTGGACACATAAGTCATTATGGCTTTCTCATCTGGACGAGCAGTGTTCACAATGTCTACAAGGTGGGGGCAAGACCGTGGTTAAGAAGACACTCACACACTAATACAGGCAAGACATGGGATAAACACAACAGGACACACATGTTGGTACATGCACTCACATATTTGACACACACTTAACAAGCTGTTAACAGACAGACACACAATCAGAGCCTCATACACAAACAGAAGAAACACAAGAGGACAAGCAGAATTCACTTTACAGTATGTGCAAGGGTATATCCATATATTTATTAAAACACCTCTATGTGTTTATTTTTTAATGAATATTTTAAGTTTTCTTTTCTTTTTCGGGGGAGGAAATAAAGGTTTTCAAGGAAACCAACGCATTTTTTTGTGTGGAAGAAAATAAATAAATACATAAATATTGAGACAAGCTCTTACTGCTCATATGAGTGTACCCCTCATACACACAGATAAAACATTACAATCAGAAACACTGGGGGGGGGGCTTTCATATAAACGGATACAGTGAGTTAGAGATCAGTGGCAACATTTATATTCACATTAACACTGAGACTGGAATGGGAGTGAGTTTTAAATTCAACACTAAATACTGTCACTTTTTACTCCTGTACTCTTAATGATACCAATGTGCATTAGAACATATTTTACGGACTAACACAAAATAATAGACAAAACCATTTCAAGTTTGTTAAATGAATGGAGGGAGAAAAGTTCAAATGATCACACCACATGTACTCATTTCATCTAAGAATTCAGTTTGACATTTGAGTGGTGTTTCTTCTCCATGTACAAAACACACTCGTTATCAAACATTTTATTATTTTCTTTTAGAAGCTAAAAGCATGAAAGGGTATTTGGAAATATAGAGTATTCCTATTTGACATTGGACACTTTTGAACTGTAGTAAATGATACAATGTAAGTGCTGTTTCCGTGATTGAAACTGAAAACTGGAGTACGGGTAGTTACCAAATGTAAATGAAATGACAATAAGGGTCTTAAAGTTAGAGAATGAGTCAGGCAGCTTTATTAACTGCTGCCAGTCTCTGTGTTGCTCATGTAAACTCCAGACCTACCTTCTGCGTCCAACATCTTGGGGATGTCCAGGTGCTTCTCAGCCACCTCAAAGGCGTTGTTCAGGTTAGTCACAGGGTCGTCCTAAACAAGCACACAGAACAATTGCTAAGTCCTACTTTTTATTAGTAGAAACTTTAATGTTAGATTTTGTTAACGACAACATAACTATGACTTTGCTTCAAAAATGCAAAGCTAAATAAAGTGTGTGTGTGTGTGTACCTTTCTGAGGCTGTCGTAGTCGATGAGGTCGGGTCTGTGTCTGTGGATCAGAGCGTTGAAGGCCAGACCGTCCTTCCAGCTGTTAGAGAGAACATGAACACCAGAGATCATTCACTGAGCCTGGGTTAACGTGCCAATAAATCCCTTTCCATGTTACAAATACTTCACCAGGGACCATTTCCTGTATCATATACTGACCCTGTGAATAGTCCATATAGAGTGAGTAGTTTCCTAAAGATTTCAAAGTCACACGGTGTGAGAAATTGATACACAATGCTTTCACTGAGCTGGAGGCAACAGGAAGTCATGCCAACATAACAACAGATCGTTGTTGCAACTGCAAGTGTGAAATATATTTTTGACCTGGTGACTAAACAATCCTACATGTGTGTCCTGTTGTGTGTGTATATCGCATGTCCTCTGTCGTGCCTGTATATGTATATATATATGTGTGTGTGAGTGTGTGTGTGTGTGTCTTCTTAACCGCGGTCCCGCCCCCCCTTGTAGACATTGAACCTGCTCTCCTCTACACTCGTGTTCTCGGCCTGTAACCTGTACTCTGTGAGCTGTATACAGTAACTTTGAAAACTTCTGAATCTGTCCCTTCACTCATTGGAGTCTTTTTAATCTTCACATACTCCTAGAAGTGGCTTCACACTAAACCGTGAAACATGTTGTAGTTACTCCACCAGGGGCGACCCTTCTACACGATTAAAGTAGTTTGTTTCATTTTATATACAGAGCACTAAGCTTCCATTCAACATTTAGCTTATGAAGTAAATATATATATATTCATATTCAACTAAATATTCACTTATATTCCACTAAATAGAGCCATGCTGCTGAAAGACCAGTGAGAGTCCGTTTTTGTTCATTAGTTTATTCTTAGATCCTACTCTCAGGGTTTCACTGCAGACCATTAGACTGTTTTCAAAGACGTTATATCCTTCAGATACAGAGCTGAATTCTGAAAGAGATGTTGCATACATTTCATTTGACCAGAACTTTTAGGTTTTTATGAAATGTGTTGTGAAACATTAATAGTGACTGTCAACAGCTTTCTTCTAAGAATGAAGACTATTGACACTAGATCACTCCACTTAGACACCTAAGAGTGGGATTGTGTGTGTATTACCTAATGTGGAAGTTCTGCACATTGACATTCTTGTAGGGAGCGGTCTTCCTCTGGCACCAAAGCAGAAGACCCTCCTTGGCAGAGGTCTCTGTAGTGAGGAAAGAAGGAAGAGGAGCAGCAGCAGGAGAGAAGAAGAGGAGCAGGAGGCGTGTGTTAGTGAGACGTCTCAGAGAGAAGTATACTGCTTTCTGAGGGAGCCAAATAGAAACCGCTCAGTCCTCAGATGACGGACAGTACAAAGATGTTTTGGTTTACTCCATGTGCCTGAACAAACATCACACACACATCTCCTCACTAACATGGAGAACACAAACATATGACAGCATATTGAGTCTTATAGTGGCCCACACCCACCATGATGAGTCCAACAGACGGCTTTAATTAAACCCCATCAGTCATCAGAGCTCTGAACGAGGGCCACATTCATCACGCAGAATTATCATCAGCAGACGCCCTCTGAGTGTGTGCGCCTTATCAAGGTTTAATGCTGGAATTAAAAGTCTATTCATTGTTCTAATCCAGCCTACTGGGATTAATGTTGGTCACATTGGACTGTGAGACGTTGCGACGGGCACTTTGAGAAGATATCGACCAAACGGTAAACTAGATGATTATCACATTGACAGATCATGTGATAATGGTCATCAACTTTAGTTTGAGTCTTGTATAACCAGAATACATGTTTCTTTAAATGCACCATCACCTTTTTCCAAGAGGCTCCTCAGGTATAACATCATGAACATCAACAGGCATTTTAAAACATTTAACCACATAAATAATAGTTATACTTTAAAACAAACAATCCAACGTCACGAAACAATCAACATAGTAAGATCAACAAGAAACCACACACGTATGCAAAGTTATATTATTTGTAATTGTGTAAACACACAAAGGAAAACCTGAGAAAATATTTAACATGTATTCATGCTAAACCCATTTAACTACTTTTAACACAAAATTAAGGTTTTCAGTATTCCTCAGTTGGCCAGTGACTTCTAGGACACACATTACAAATGATCTTTCCTAGAAAAAGGTGGGCTAGCTTCCTTGATTCATCAATTTTAGAAATACATGTATTGGTATTTTGTGTGATTTTAGTGTCCATCAGTTATGGATATTTGTAGAAGTTGTATACGGATTCAGAATCCCTGAGTTTAAGGTGATGACGTCACAGTGCCCTTCAGCAAGGCACTTAGTCAGCTGAACGTGTTTATGCAGATAAAAGAACACAGCGGTACCTTCCACAGAGATGTCCTGGATGGCGAAGCGGAGGATGATGGTCCAGATCATTCCCAGGGTCATCTTGGCGTTTCCGTCCACGATCTCTGCACGACAAAACAGAAGTGTGTCATATGCTTTTTGCTGCATCTAGATTCACTTTGGACCATACATCGTGTTTTCACAACCAGCCAATACACCCGCACAACTGCACTAATGTCCCACAGCTGCCAGATATACAGAGCTTTTTTAAGTGACAAGCTTTCACAGTGATTTCATTCATAAAATAATTAAAAGAAAAGATTACAAATACACAGTGAATTGTTAAATACGTATAAGAGACACATATTTGTAGTTAATTATAAGGACTGACTGTGTGACACACACACGTTAGTGAGAGGTATGTCGTGCGGGTCACATTCCTATCATAGTTCACAGTTGTACTTTCACCAGCTTCATGTTCCCCTTCATCACTTTCACTGTCAGCTGTCACTGTCTCACATCGCTCTCATTCTATCAACATTCTTCATGTTCAATTACCATAATGACCTTAACATTTCTTTAACAGGAGCCGTGTGTCACAAGTTTTTAACCATGATAAATAATGTTTTACATTTTTACAGTAAAACTTTTCTAAAATGTAATAAAAGCTCAATTATGTTTTTATTCATTGACTTAGAAGATTGTTTATTAGCCTCCAAAAAGGCTTTACAACCATGTATTTGAACATTTTCCACTAGGGTTTAACACTGAGGTCCCTGAGGATCAAAAGTGTTGAAGAAAGAGAACATAGGAACGTGTCCTTTAAACCAGTGGTTCTCAACTGGTCAGGCCTCGGGACCCACTTTTTCCTTTGTCAATAAATCGTGACCCGAAATGTTGAACCACTCAAATGTATTCAACAAAAAATCGTGCTGTAATATATATACGCTTTTCAGCATACAATATTAATTAAAGTGAAGTACAGTGCATATATCCCTTCACAGAACTAAATAATGCTTTTAAATAACATGTAAAGGCACACATGCTAAAAACCCAACCCCAGCAGGGGGGGTCTGGGGGGGGATTCTCCCCCAGGAGACTTTTAGAAATACTAACATATAAACTACGCATTCTGGTACACTCTGAGAAGAAAATATATAGATATATTATTTCCCGACATATTAATAATATTTATGCCATTGTTTGTTTTTCACTTTGTTCTGACATCTGAACTTGCTGCTCCTCACAGAGATAAGAGTAAAGAGGAGATAGTCTGTGTGACTTATGCCCCGGCCACACGAGGACGAAAACGGCCGTTTGCGTTACTGTTTAGTGTCATATAGACCGTTCGGCCACACGAGGACGACCGCATACGGCACTAAACGACTGAGGAAACGACAACGGGTCCCAAGGTGGACAGAACGGCATACGCAACGCTCTGGGGGGTCCAACGGCTCCGTGTGTACGCCCTATACGATCATGTTCTGATAATGATGAGGCAATAGCCCCGCCTCTCCCCACCTCTGCTGCTCACCCCCGCGTCAAAGTAAACTGCACACTGAATTCAGATTATTTATCTTTCTCTCGATATGGACCTAAACGCGAGTGAAGTCTAATCTGACAGGACGGAGACACGCAGCTCTGCTTACCTGCAGCTCCTCCCGCTGTGATGCGGCAGTGAACGGAGTAAAACACACACTTCAAGTCAGATCATCACCCTTAGCTATTTTAATTACCTCTCAAACTACCTAAACTAGTTATAAATATGTTTATTTTTACTGTCAGCCGGGTCACTCATTACTGGATCAGCTGCTGCATGAGACAGACACTGGCGCTGTCCGAAGAGAGGGAGGAAAAACAGAGGCTCCATGTATTTTATTATTATATTATATAGATTCGTTATTCATTTGTTTTAAAGCTCAATAAATAACAAAGAAGACCTTTGACCGGCACTTTTATAATTTTGTCCGGAAGATTTAAATTTTAATACACGTTGACTGGCGAAAAACTCTGCCCGGTTCCCTCGGCCCCCACCGCGGAGAATAAACAGAAGGGCAACCATGACAACCATGCTTCTTTGCTGCTTTTGTGGAGGAAGTTACAGCGCCACGTACAGGCTCCTGCATATGTACTGCAGCTTCTCCAGTGGTTGGAGCAAAACGGAGCTGTCTCGTGTGGGCAGACACTATCCGGATAGCTATCCGTGTGGACGGAAGCTTGTTTGCGATTGCGTTTGCGTTAATCCTATGCGTTTAGCCGTTTTCGTCCTCGTGTGGCCGGGGTCTTACTTTAAATTGTGGGTAAGGGTAGATAGCTCCCATTGTTCTGTGACCTGTCAATCATCAGACCGGGGGTCATATTTCATTATGTGTTCATTTCTATCTGAAGTTGTAACCATGGATGTATAAAGAATAGTTCTACCGCAAAGTTATTCTCCGTGGGGACTTCCGGCAACAATCTTGATTCTGATTGGCCAGAAGACTCGAAAAAACATCAGCAAAGATGTTTTATTGAGAAGATGATCACTACGTGACAGAAGTTTTCAAAACCGTTTATGGTCTCCGGTACTTCCAGTCCAATGCACGACCTACTGCATGCACAGCGTTAGAAAATCGGACCTTCAAAATAAAAGTTTGACTTTTCCCCCCCCCCCCCTCACTCACACATCGGCGACCCACTCCAAATGGGTCCGCGACCCACTTTTGGGTCGCGACCCACCAGTTGAGAATCACTGCTTTAAACTGTTTCTGTGGGAAGTCCTTCATTTTCAACTCGTCCCTGCCAAACATCCATTTTCCCCTCATTGCCATTTCTATCTCCAACGCTTTCCAGTAGATGACCTTTAGTGGGCCGCTTCTTTAGAAAGGGACTCACTGTGTGTGTGTGTGTGTGTGTGGTTGTGTGTGTGTGTGTGTGTGTGTGTGTGTGTGTGTGTGTGTGTGTGTGTGTGTGTGTTGTGTGTGTGTGTGTGTGTAGCACTCTGAGTTCAATGGTCAGCAGTATCAGCGGTGTCATGTAGCAGGAATGTCACGTTTGTTCTTATAGAGCAGGAGAGAGGTTAATTTGTTCTCTTCTGATGATTCATTTGCTTGAAGCCTGTACCTCTGTGAGTGTATGTAAACAGAAGGGCAGTTTGGTGCTGTGGAAACGGAATACTTGTTAAGCCTACACATCTTTAACTGTGTGGATAGCATCTCTTTAAGTTCTGTCTTGCACCACTAGATACAACATGCACAGGTTTTGGTTGTATGTCTTATGAACAATGAGAAGCTTAAGTCCTTGACTCTGACGGTTAAAGGGTGTTCCTCATGGGTCTGATTATGGCCACGCTCCAACGCAGCTGTGGGACATCATGCAATTATGGGCTGTAATTAAGTCTTAAGAAAGTTCCCTGCTACTGAAAAGTGGGCAGTTTTAAAATAATCTGTGGGTTAATAGTGACTTCAGGACATTCTTAGTACCAACTACAGTAATCTCTCTGACTTTCTAACTAAACATGTGAGAGTCAAACGGAGGCTCTGGTTTTGGGGCCTGTGTGTTCAGTGATCCATGCCCAAAGGTCATCTACTGTAGTGCAGATTCCACACTCAGGACCAAGTATGAAATCTTGACTTGAGATCAGGTTTAAAAGGAGTGAGGTGGATGAATGAGATGGAGCTTTCATAGAGAGGTTTCAGGACTCATAACAACATTCATTATGTCTCAGCACATCAACAATGGGCATTTTTAAGGGGCTTCTTTTCATGTTTGTATATGCGTGCATGAACGCATGCTTACCCTCTGCTCCAATGGAGACCAGTTTCACTCCTTTACCGGCGATGAAGTCCAGGGCTTTGTTCACGTTGTTGATCTTGTGGACCCTCATCTTGCCTCGCTCAGGCTTGGCTAACCGTTCACCTGTACACACCAACACACCACACACACACCACACCCACACACACACCCACAAACACACACACACACCAACACACACACACACACACACACAACACACACACACACACACACACACACACACACACACACACCACACACACACACACACACACACACACACCCACACACACACACACAACACACACCACACCACACACACAACACACACACACACACACACACACACACACACACACACACACACACACAACACACACACACACACACACACACACACACACACACACCACACACACACAACACACACACACACACACACACACACACACACACACACACACACACCACACACACACACACACACACACACACAGAGAGCGAGTTAGCTCCTGCAGTGACGGAGGCAGCATGTTTCCACAGGCTCAGCACCACAACACTGTCAGACAGTTAAAGCTACAGCAGGCACCATGGTGTGACTCACAGCTCAATGTGAAAGGAAGCCACATTTCATTATGAGACCACAGCAGCTCAAATGAGTGTGTTCTATGCAGGAGGAAGGCTGTCGTACAAAGTGACAGGGTTCCCAGTGCTTCTCCTGATGGTGAGATGTGTGATCCATACTGAGGCGGGAAACTGTGAGTGACCCCGCCCTGGTTTGGATAGAGATCTTGTGCATCTAAAACATCTGAAAACATTTTTCACTGATCGACAGCTCAAAGAGAGGCTGCTTATAAATGCTCTGTGAAACGTGTGTGTGTGTGTGTGTGTGTGTGTGTGTGTGTGTGTGTGTGTGTGGTGGGCTGGACAGCTTTCCCCTGTGGTTTCTGTGTGGAACATTATTACAGCTATCACAGTTTAATTAAAAACTTTCCGAGTGAGTTTTGTGGAGCCGCGGGGGGGGCAGAGGGTTACCTGAGATGGTCTCCAGCAGCAGCATCAGTTTGAGCCCATCCCTGAAGTCCTCCTCTATGCTTTCAATCTGCGTGCCGGACTTCCTCAGGTGGGAGTTGCACCACGCCGTGAACGTCTGAACACACAAACAGGAGAAAGGTGGGGATTATTCACGGTGTTGTTCTAGCTTTTATGACAATAAACTACTTTGAATCGAGAATAGAGGAGAATTCAATTAACAGGAAGGTCAGGGAGTTGCTTTGATAAGACAGGAAGTGGCAGAAGAAATGGGGAGGAGACAGATGTTATAACACGATACATATAGTTCAGAACTGCTAGTTATCAAAGAACAATTTTAAATATAAGTCATACAAATAAAGTATCTTTAAAGAATCAGAATCAGCATCATTCCCACAATAAAAAACTAAAGAAAAGCCTCCTCACGTACAAAGCTACACAGCCTGTCCCGTATGTCCATGTAGAAACACTGCCAACCTTACAGATATATGCCCCTGAAGATATGAAACCCTGACAGGAATCAAAGTGAACATCTGTCATGATGGCGTACTGAATCAAACATCTGGAAAAAGAAAGTGAAATATGACACATCTAAAGCTGCATGGAGTCCATGTTTTCCAGCTCCTGGTTAGCCAACATTCTTCACAAAGGTGTTCTGAATTCTTTGATTGTGAGGAGTTAGTGGCACAGATGTAGGCACGGGGCTGCGGGGAGCTTTGTCACGCCACTCAGTCATTTATGGCTGGTCATAAATCAACGTGTCAAAACACTGACTTTTCTCTGACGTGTTACATAACTACTGAAAGAGCTTCATGCTCAGTAAGCAAAGGGCTGACTCGTCCTTCAGATGGAAATACTTGACTTCTTAGAACTTCCAAGCTGATAACAGGAAACCATGAGTGAGTTTCAATTATTATTTGTGTTTTAATTACAATTAAAACAATGAAAATGTTATGGAGCTGGAAGACACAATATGCATAAGGTGAAGGGATGAGGACAAAGGAAGCAGGAAAGAGTAACAGAAGGGATGTTGATGGTTGTTCCCAGCAGGAAGAATACACTTGATAATGACTGAACGACCAAGACAAAACTCATCTGCTTCAATCAAAGAAGTAAGCCAGAATGCCAGTCGATATCTTATCTTAAATACATGTGACTTTTGGACTGGCAATGAAGATGGACTGATAAGATCATTATTTTGATTAGCAGCATGTGTCCTTCACTTCAGATTCACTAGGGCTGCAACTAATGACTATGTGTTTCATTCATCTGCTGATGTCGTCTGGATGTGACGTCCTCATTGTTTTTTGTAATATTAATATTTTGTCTAACAATAATCATTCAAATAGTTGTTAGAAAACAATGTTGCTGCCATTTTAAAACGTATTCCTCTTTCTATGTGTATGCACCATTTCCATCAAAGCAAATTCCTCATACGTGTGGACCTACTTGGTAATAAACCTGATTCTGAAATGTCCATCACAGCTTCCAAGTCCAAGGGGATGTCTTTAAAGGTTGAAGTTGTTTCATGTCATCTGATGTACAGCAGAGAGAAGCAGGAGCCCTCAGTGTTTGAGAGACAGTTAAAGAGGTTTCTGACAGTTATGCATGACAAATTACTCGGATGATTCCATTTCCAAAAACGTGAAGAATGTCTTTCTGTGGACTGACTCACATCTCGCCACATATCTTCTACTTCTCAGTATTTTGCCACATAAATATTGAAGACAACTTTCCAGAAAGAGTCTGCATGTAGTTGACCTTACACCTCCTGCCTGCCTCTCTCGTGTGTTGTGTTGAAAACATTATGACAGGGTGCTGCTGCCCTGCCCCTCCCTCCCCCAGCCCACTGGCACAAAGCACCCATTGAGCCTGGGGGAGAATAGCACCCTTTAGCACTCTTCAGCCCCCTGTCCTCTCTCTCTCTCTCTCTCTCTCTCTCTCTGACCCTCCCCAGACTGCCGATACCAACTCACACAATTATATATAGAGCTAAGACTGGACACACACTGAGCAGGGAGGGAGGGGAGTTCATTTAAACAAACACACACAAAGTTAGGGGCAGAAAGATAATGCCCCCTGTGCCACACACAGTTAACAACTGCAGCAGGAAGTGGCACTGCAATGACTGTGTAACAGAGCATCAGAGTGCAGCTGCAACCACTGTCACTCAGACTGATCCCACTCATGCTCAAAGGGAAAACACTGTGAACCTCTTTATTTATTATATAGGGACAAAACTAGCTTGCAACAGTTTGAAAGTGCTTTATACAAACTCATCTCTCCAGGCTTTGTGTGATTAACAGTTCCTTGATTGTAAGAGATGGTACAGGTAACCAAGAACTGGTGACCTGTGTGTCAAGAGGTTATTTTACAGTGTGGTAAGTTCAGCAGAGATTCAGCTAAATGTAATGTAGCAGCCCTGTTGTGTACCATGGGTGCCATATCTTGCTTTCAAGATTTGGGGCGGTGGTGGCGAAGTCGATAGGGACTTGGCTTGGTAACTGGAAGGTAGTGCTGTAGCGACGCGTCGACTTCAAAATATCGTCGACGACATATTTCCGCGTCGACGCGTCGCTACACACACGTGGGTCACCCAAAGCAACAAGCAGTTCGCAATCGCACTTCAAACACAATGGAGACTGAAACGGCTACCACCTCCTCCTCACAGGATTGCGCACGAAGCCCCCAAACGAAAACATCTCGCCCTAGGTCTTCAAAAGCATGGGAATATTTTAAAGTTAGTCCAAAACGCAAAGATATTTATATATTTATATCTCACTGAGACTGCTGCATAGCCTAGCAGAAGCAGCAGCTAACTGTGGTGGCTACCATTAGCAGCTAGCATTTGCTCTCCGATTTTTACATAAAATGGAATTATGGATTATAAATTCAATCATTTTTTTTATACATAGACGTTAAAAACCTATGGATTAACCGATTCAGCCGCGTTTTTTCTCATTTTAATGCCATTGAACACGTCTTTTGATGAGATTACGGTGGTGAGACGATCTCCCGAGACGCTCTGTGAAGGTACGTGTTGTGATGACTGTATTTGCTTCCCCTGTCGCGAGTCCGGATCACTCAGTGATGATACTATATACCTACATAATCTGTGGAGTCTCAGCTTTAATCGGATATATTGTATGTGCAGCTACGATAAGTAATAAGGGTACTTTTATCTTGAGTTCTGTGCCAATGTCCGTTAGCATTTTTCGCTCAGGGGTCATTTAGATCCTTCTTATGAGACTTGTGTTTTGTTTTGGTAAACATGGTTTGTATCGTCAGTTAGCTGAGATTATTTCCGTTAATCTGGTATAACACATTAATAGGTTCTTAAATATTAAGATCCCCTGAGACACAGTATCGTGAACATTTTTTTTTTTACATTACGTTTTTTTTACATTACGTTTTTTATGAATTGAACAACAGAAAAATAATCGTTAGATTAGTCGACTAATCGATCAAATAATCGCCCGATTAATCGTTTTCAAAATAATCGTTTCCCCCCAGCACTACTGGAAGGTCACCAGTTCAAGTCCCGGCAAGACCAAGTGCTACCGAGGTGTCCCTGGGCAAGGCACCGTTCCCCACACTGCTCCCCGGGCGCCGTTCAAAATGGCAGTAGACTGCTCCTAACACTAGGATGGGTCAAATGCAGAGAAACCATTTCCCCACGGGGATTCATAAAGTATATCAAATCAAAATAAAAAAAAGATATTCAAAAGTTAGGAAATATTGGATATAAATAGCTTAGGGACGCTGTGTACAAAATAAAGAACCTTGAACTATTAGCAGCTTCACTAGTCTGCTGTCCTAACAGGAGTAGTGCCACTGGGAGTGGTGAGGTGGAGAAGGAAACACAAACAGACACATGTTGAGACCTGCAGAGAGCTTAAGACCTTAACGTTCACTAGAACACTACGTGCTGCAGATTATACATCCTCCACCCCTCCCTCTGAGGACAGAGGACAGACCCGGCTGTATCAGGAGCTTAAAGTATCCTGTATGCGGCTGAGAGGGATGTCCATCCTGGGACAGGAGGAAGTAAAACACTTCTGTTCAGTCACACTTTTTGTATTAGAAGTGTAGATCGCCACACACAGCTATTACACCGCACTTTACAAGCATTATTTAAAATGCTTCAAAAAGGTTTAATATGTAACTTTAAGACATTCAAATGTCAAAAACATTTACAAAGCTAGGGATGTTAACCAACATAACATTCTGTTGTGCTTGCATGCCAAAAGCAGTGATGCATTGACTTGTCAGAAACACGTCCTTTAAACCGGTTGAAGGGTTTAAGTCAGCGGACATCTGGATCTGAATGTATCAGCGAAACAGCAGAGCTAATGTATGTGGTGAGCTCTCACACCTACAATCCCATAGGGGAAACACTGATCAACGTAAAACTGCCTCTTCATGGTATTTTGAAGTTTGAATTGCCGGGTTTCCAATATAGGATATGTCATTGCCCGATTGACCCTATTCAAACTTAAATGACCCTCACCGCTAAAGGCAGCGACCCAATAGGATGAGTGCCAGTGGATCCTGTTAAAGCTGCTCTGTGTTGGTGACAGAGGATGAGAGGATTCCTGAGGACACAGATAACAAGCTAAAGGCTGCGTGGACGTAGCAAAGCTGCATCCCAGTGTTCAGAAGGTTTACATTTTAGTCACATGTCTCTTATCCTCCATCTACAGCTACCTTCCTCTGACCTCACTGTTCAACTCAACATGTTAAAGGTCCCATGTCATGGCCATTTCTACTGATCATAGTTCCATTGTTGAGGTCTACTAGAATAGATTTACATTGTTCAATGTTCCAAACTCACATTGGTTTCTCAAACAGCATCTGTATAGTATGTGTATTCACTCTGTCCTAAACGGCTTGGTGGAGCTCCTGCCCCCCCCCCCCTCCCTATGAGCCCACTGTGCTCTGATTGGTCAGCTCGCCCACTCTGTTCTGATGAGTCAGTGATTATGTGTTACAATGGCGTTTGTTAGCAACCAGGAAATGACACCAGTAAGGACAAACTGATGAGAATGCTGCGTGGGGTCTGGGGGCCGTGTTGGCGGGACGTTGCGGGGCTCGCTGCTCACAGCCCGAGCTTCAAGT